ACATTAACCTTAAAATTACATTTTACAAAAGCATCTTGGAAAAGTTACACTGCTTAAGGGTATGGTTGCAAGTAGATTCTTTTAATTGCTGCCAATAAGCCATACACCTGTAAAAAGTTAATAAGCCATACACCTGTAAAAAGTTGAATGAACAAAAATATGTGATATATTTACGACAATAACAAAAAATATCAGAGTAGATGCTGATGTTGTTTGTATACAGCCAAACACCTCATGGGATATGATTCCGTTGTTTGAAGGTTTAGGCTCACAGTTTCATGGGAAATCTCAGTTAATTAGCCAGGTTCTAATGCCTCCTCAAGGTTTTTTGCGTAGTTCCTGGGGTCTTATAATGTTGCAACTGGCAACCAAGACATAGTAGCTGATCTCTATTCACCTGAACAACAGAGGAAGGAGAGTCAGGAATGTTGTTGTTGTTGCTGTTATGTGCCATCGAGTCGTTTGTGACTCATAGCGACCCTATGTACAACAGCCTAAACCCTGCTCTATCATGTGCCAATCGCATTGCCTCTGACACACCCATCCCGATTACCCCAGTCACTAAATCAATCCACCTCATAGAGGGTCTTCCCCTCCTGCGCTGTCCCTCCACTCTGCCCAGCATGATGTCCCTCTCTAAAGACCTGTATAAAATGTATGACTGTCTCCACGAGCAACTGCCTTCCTTCCATGAGACCAGAACTGGATGGCACCTGGCTACCATTACTAAATATATTGATCAAATATTCCATAGAAGAATCATGATTGAAAGGGGGAAAATCAAGAACATATTTTCAAATTCTCATAGGCTTTAGATTTTCTGGAGCCACAGAGGCTGAATGAACCTTTAAAACCATCACCTTTAGATATCATTAAATTTTAAACCTAAAATATCCCCTGAAATAATGATCAAATTGAACAATGTTTCAGCTTAATTAGTAAAAAAAGGTCCACTTTAAGTGCTATGCTTTTTAAAGAACTATCTGTTTCGAATGTAGTTGATAACAGCAACTAAAAAGATTACATACAAACTCTAAGGGAAATGAGTTTATATTCATGAGGAAGCAACAAACAACTCAAAAGAGGAGGAGGGGAAGAGTTTTATAAGTCAAACAACATAATCAATGCTACTAAAACATACATGTAGAAACTCTGGAATTAGTGTTTTACGGTATATATTCTTTACACTCAAATAACTAAGAAAAATATCTTTTCCTTGCAAAAGCAGTATTTTTAAAAATAATATACAAAAGAAGAAAGCATATGTTAGTGATAACTAATAGTAACATATGATGGATACTCTCCCAGTCTTTTTCAGATAAGTAGGTAAGTAGGCAAATAGATGGATAGATTACACAGGCACTCAAAAAGGGGTATTTCTAAACAAAAGCAAGATGATACTTTTACTCACATCTTGCTTTTGCCACTTAATGTGTGTTAAATATGCTATATCAATATGTATTTATATACCTATTGCTTATATGGTTGAATAATAGTATTCTCTCACATGGATAGAGTATAATTCTTACTATGTATTAAAAAATACATTATTTTGATAAGGAATCTTTTTGCTAATTTCTGTATATAAGTGATGTCTTTAGAAATGACTCCTGGAAATGGAATTTTTAAATCAGATGGCATATATACTTTTAATGCTTTTTATATATTAACAAATTACTTTCTTGAATTATTTTATTAACATACATATATTGCAGCCATATGAGAATACTTATTTTCCTTCCAACATCACCAATACCAAACATTAAACTTTTAATCATTGTTAACAGATGAAAAATTTGATCTTACA